CGGCCAAAGCCAGCCTAGCCACTGTCAGATTTGCCGTCCTCCCAGAAAACTCCATCTTGTGACCAGCACGATCCACTGTCCTCAGAATTCTGCAAGGAACCACAGGTAGAGAAGAGTATTCCTATCTTTTGGATGCAGAATCCATTCTCCTTACAAGATTTTCTCCATGGGAATTTTCTTTTGGTTTTAAATCACTATCTTTGACAATATACTTTGGGCGATCTACTTCCGCAGAGATACCGCCTTGGAAACCCAAGGAGGGGTCGCTATGAGTCGGGTCTGACTCCACGGCACATAACAACAACAACAATTTCTAGTTGTGCAGGCAAATGAAATGCCTTCAGCGAGCTTCAGTTTGCTCACCTGCTAAGTTGGAGACAATATTAGCACTGATCTCAGAAGACTGTTTTGAAGGTGAAGTGAAACTGTTGCATGTAAAGCCAGATCCTGAAGCCCTAATAATAAATTTGTATTTTATTCCAAGTGTAATGAAAGCAAGAGAATTAAAAGCAAGATAATGGCAGGATTTAACGTATGTTTTAGAAGCTCACTCAGCTGCTTAGTGCGGCAAGAGATGAGGAGGCAGGGAGGGCAATTAGGAGGTTATTGGAGGGGGCTTCGTGAGATATATTGGGGCCAAGACTAGGATTGTGGTGTTGGTAGAGATGGACCAACACAGATTCCAGGAATATTTAGGGCAATGTACTGGGTTGAGTGGTGTACCCCCAAAATTGATGTCTTTCTTGGAACCTCAGATTTTAACTTTATTTGGAAATAGGGTCATTGCAGACATAAATAGTTAAGAAGAGGTCATGCTGAAACAGGGTGAGTCCTGAATCTGATATGACTGGTGGCCCTATAGGAAAGGGAGGACAGAGAGAGAGATACAGAGATGATGCCACGTGACGACACCGGCAGAGATCGGAGTGATGCCATAGAGTGCCAAGAATTCCCAGCAACCCCAGATGCTAAGAGAAAAGCGTGGGACAGATTCTCCCCTAGCGCCTTAGAGAGAGCATGCCTTCTAGCATCTGAACTGTGAGAGGCATTCACTTTGTGGTCATCTGTTATGGCTGCCCTAGGAAACTCAAACAGGGATTTAAAAAATGTCTGCTAACCGAAAGGTCACTGGTTCAAACCCACCAGTTGCTCCGGGGGAGAAAGATGAGGCAGTCTGCTTCTGTAAAGATTTACACACTTGGAAACCCTACGGGGAAGTTCTACTCTGTCCTATAGGGTAGCTATGAGTTGGAATCGACTGACAGCAATGGGTATGGATTAACTATTTGTTTGGATGGACGTTCCTGGATGGTGCAAACAGCTAACATGCTTGGCTGCGAACGGGGGCCCACCAGGCCAAGGGGGTGAGGTTGCCATTTAGGAACTAGGGGACTGGAGCCACCCAGTAGAGGAGACCTGTACAGATGTCACCCATTGAAGATCTGTACAGGTGCCAAGTTGACAAGGGGTGGAATTGCGATAGATATGTTTGTATGTCAACCTGGCTGGGCCTGGTTGAGTGGCTGG